GGCTGGCTGGCTGGGGAATTCTGGGAGTTGAAGTCCACCCCTCTTCAAGTGGCCAAGTTTGGAAAGCACCAATCCAGTCCAATCCCTTGCCCCATGCAGGAATCCACCATCGCAACGTCCTCCCTGGCCAACCAAACTCTTGGGGGAATATTAAAAAGTTCTCCAGCTCTTCTAAGGTCCTGAAAGCCTCTTTAAAAAAAAGAAAAGAAGGTCACCTTCTCTCCTATGTCACTTGAAACAGGCACGGACGAGTAATGGCTGGGTCTATTTCTACGGGAGTGAGATTCGTTTTCTTTAGGGGTCGGCAGCAACTGGGGTGCCTTGGAGGAAATGGACATGAATTCTGATCCTCCCCCTCTGCCCGCAGCAGAAAATCAGAACGAAATGGGGATTTGTTTTCCCCAGCTCCGAGGATCTTACCCAGCGAAAAGATGCTGCAGAGCAGAGGGAGGGGGTTATAGATGCTTGCGGTAACCCCAAGCATATGATGGGATTGTGCTTCATTCTAATTCTGGGGTAGCCTGGGCTGACCCCTTGCGGGATGGTATTTTCCTGTGTTACGTTTCACGATAGCGCTTCCATCTAAAGTGGAACCCGAGGCAGGGTCTGAGCCGTCATAAACGTCGGGTATCGGAAGCAGAATACAATTGCCCAGCAATGACTAAACTCTCTGAAACGGTGACGTTTTAAAGCCCCCCTGGGGTAAGCATGGAAAGCCAATGACCACGGTATAGTTTATGAGTCCTTGATGGCCAAACATGCCATTCCTTTGGTCAAGGAATCACGCGAATCGTCCTCCACGCTGAGGCACTGCTTTCCAAACTCAGCACAGGACCCGTTCTTCCCCGAGGGGTGTGGGTCTACCTGCTAAAAGTTTTCACCCTGTAACTTTTCTTTTCTTTTCCCCCCAAAGTGGCTGCACAGTTTATCAGGACTAAAAGTCCAATAACGGACATAAGTTTACCTGTCATGGTATGAAGAGCACTTTTTCTCCTAAAGACGGGCGTTTATGTAGCACTCTAAAAGTCTGTCAGCTTCTCGTGGTGGCGTGACTGGGGCAGAATTGGCCATCCCGCTGCACGGCACTCTCCTTAGCCAACCTTGCTCTGCCCCCCACCCTTTCGGCTTCTCCCCTTGCTCCCTGCATGTTTTCGGCAATGGCCACAGGTCCCCTCTCCTCAGCCTTGTATTCCGCCATCTTCCACAGCTCTCCCACGTAATGTTCCTGCATGGTTGTCTCTTTATGGTTGCTCCTCATCTGGTAGCTTAGAGGACTAATCTGGGTGACGTTCCTAGAAGTCCCTCCTGCGACCATTTCTCTTTAAATTCTGCTGTAGGAACCCAGCACCATTTTGAAAGCTTGGTTGGCCGGAAAGCCTCCCGTACAATGTATTTCTCTCATCCAGTGCCTTTGGGTCTAGTCCTCTGCGACCCGAGGAGGAGTAATGACAAGAAAGCAATGCAGGAGGCAGTCTGCCTCCTGAAAATGCTGGCCATGTTTCAATCCTTGGTTCTCTCCTTCCTAGCGGGGTGTTTGGGCCTGCTTTGTGGCATGTGTCTTTATAGGCGAAGGCCTGTCTCATCCAATGCAGATTGTAAACTGGGCTATGTTGTCTACTTAGGAACGACTTAAATGGGTTTTTTCATCAGATGGGCTTTTTGTTTTCCAGTGGTAGGGGATCTGGAACGCCCTTGCTGAAATGATTTGCCTGATGCCTGCTTCGCAGTCCTTTTGGCGCTAGGTTAAGATGCTTCCATTTACCTAAGCATTTTAGTCTACATAATTCCTTGATATGCCTCAAAATTGTTGATTGCTTGTCCAATGTTAATGTTTTTACTCTTAGTGTATCCGGTTTTAAAAGACTCGTGGTCCTTGTGTTTGAGTTAAAATAATTTTCTGTGACATTATGCCATCTTGTGATCTGATTGGATGAGAGATAGAATAGACATATTTTCAACAGATACATCTTCTGAGTTAAAGGGAAACAGAAGTTTAAGGGTAACGTTACAGCTGGGTTGCCACACCAGTAGAAACTAGAATATAATGCTTTGCAAGTAAATAAACACATGTGAATTGGGCAAACACAGCATTTGATTTTGTTTTGGCATCAAAAAAAAGAGCAAAGTTAAGCAAACTTATGTTTTGGAAAGCAGAAAGGAAATTGTGATAATCCAAACAAATCAGCCACTCATACCTAGAATTGTTATGCATAGCCTCATTTTTGTTGCAGTTAAGAGTTTTGAAATTTTTCCTGTACTGACTGAAACAGTTATAGATTGTTGTGTTTTATACAAAGTTTTTTTCAGAATGTAAACCAGCTTAAATAAAATTCAGTCTCAACAATATACCGGCTTGTTTTATTATATTACTACAAAATTCTGGAATAAACAATAAATGCTGTGTCTAGAATATGGTAAATTCCATTTGTGGAATGGAGAATCCCACTGAGGCCTACGGTCATTTAGATGGCAAAATAAAATCAAGATCAATACAAATAATAGAGAGGAGGATTCCATTAAGGGTATAATTAAGTCTATTGTGTACCTGCCACCGCCACAGTAATGTGCTTTTTCCATGAATAAAAATTAAGTTCCTGATGTCATTTCTACACAGAAGATAAATAATGTAGTTAGTTATCGTATGGTAATTCTACAAAATAGTCACATTGAGAGTTCCTTCCAAAATCATACTCTGCAAGGCAGGAAAATATTTTTTTAAACACTTCTGGGAGCACTGAATATCTAGGCAAAACAATAGAAAAAACATACTATTTTACAATTAAATACAATAATAGAATAAAATTATAAACGCAAAGCAGCATTTGGTATAATGTGGCTTTTAAATCCACCTGTTGGGGAATCTATTCCCATGCACCATATGGGCCTTTGCCAGGAGGCTGGAGTGGTCAAAGAGGAGTCCATTCTATAGATATGTATTTTCTCTTATTGTTCAAATGAAAGTTTTCCCTGTGGGATTATGCTTTCTGACTTGAGTTGAGAACTCTGGGTCAGAGAAGACCGCTCCAGCAAAAACTGCAGTTATTACAGCAGCCTTTCTCAACTGTAGCAACTTGGAGATGTGTGGACTTCAACTCCCAGAATTCCCTGGCCAGCTTGCTACGGTTGAGAAACGCTGTATTATAGGATTTTACAAAGTACCCTTCTGGCGATAGGTTAGGAATAGGCATTGTTAGCACTCAAGCAGCATGTTATGGATTTGGACAGCAAGTCCACCAGATTGCCCTTCCTCGAGATGGGCACTTGAGTAGCCATCTTCCTTTTCTGGGTTGACAAGATACCTCAGTCCAATAACAGTCTCCAAATTTGGAAGAGATCTAAGTAGAGCTTGTTTAATGCACATCCTTTAGCTTTTCCTAAGCAGAAATCTTTAAAAGCCCCTTATGGAGAAAGGGCCATTGAACTTAGGGCCCATGTCCTGTTATATCGCTCCTTTTATAAAGATGCATAATTATATTTTATAGACCTCTTTCAAGAACGTTTTTCAGGCCATTCATATATATATATTTGATGCACAGTTGCTTCTGTCTGACCAGTATGATTGTGTTATCTTTAAATATGGCAAAATACTGCTTTATTGTTTGTAGAGCTCACCCTGATTTGGTTATCCTGACCATCTAGCTTACGTGCTTTAAGTTTTGTTTGCATTAATATTCATTCTCTTGTCTATTTGCCGAATTCTGGTCATTGACTGCAATAAAGTTTTGTTGTTAAAGTGACTTGCTTTTCACTGCTGCTTTTTATTAAGATACAGCAGAAATCATTTTAAAGTGGTTTAATGGCCATTGCATGCACGCGAGGAAAAAAAATCATGTTCTTTATGTAAAAATGAAAGCAATATAAGCGAACAACTGCTGACTGCTAAATGTTTTCCAAAAGTTCCTGTGAAATTATTTTGGGTTTCCCACAAGACAGTCAAAGTTTTTAAGGAATGAAATAACCATTCATATATGCTTGCCTCTACAATATCAACATCATGTCCCTAATAATGCTAGTCTAAAAGTAACATCGTGTTAGTATGGTGATGTTTGAAGGAATTATCTGCTCACAGGCAAAGCCTGGCCCATTGCAGTATAATTGAATTCACTGCATGGCATCCACCAAAGGTTCCTAACCCTCTTCTAATTCAGTATAATTTGCATTACTTGCCATGCAGCTGCTAACTCCTGCCATTGGCCCAATTAAAAGGTTAGAGTGGCAACTTCTGGTTCAAGGGCTGTGCCAAGGCTTCAGAGGGGTTCTGCACCTTTGGTGTAAATGTTCTGTGACGCTCCATGCCCAGGAATGAAAATGCTGTAGGGCTGTTTCACCACTTCCGTGTTTAAAATGTTCATCTTTTGTGTATTACGCAGCTATGACGACTTCATGGGTTCAGCCAAAAATGTGATAAGTGAATCTGTTGATGTAGAGGACAAATACAACATGATGGTAAGTCATTCATTCTGACAGTATATCAGCCTCTTAATGTTTTTTGTGGTTGGAGTTGGGCCACGTGTAAAGGCCTGTCTTTGCTCCCACACTGACCTCATAGTAAAGAATTTGAAGAATTTGGTCCGGTGCAGCTATGGTACTGAAACAGTTGCCCTGGCAAGAGATACGGCAAAAAGCTGAAAATGATTTGTCTTGGTCAGTCAATTTAAAAAGGGCGGGGGCTTTGATTGTGTGGTTCCGGCTGTTATTTGAGGTTTTTCTCTGGCCCCACTCCCCCATGGACACCCTGGTTTCCCCAACTTCAGTGAAAGGGATCCAGCTTTCTCCAGATGGAGGCAGTAATTAAGTGCTAGTACAGCAAAAATATTTTTCTTTATGCTTTGTGCTAAAGATGGTTTCCCATGGCATGCTATACACTGAGTTTTAACTTAGAACCAAGTAAGCTGTGGGTGAGAATGCAGAATAGCAAGTTTGGAAAGCAGTGACTGCCATTTCCTCACAAAACATAAAAATGGGAGATTTGATGGGAATGCCCTTACAGCCATCTCTTCAGATAATATTGTTCTGCAGTCAACACTGGATATGAATTATTGCCTCTGATAACTAGGCTTTTAAGTTTTCCTTTTTCTCCCTTAAGACAGACACACACACACATGCGCGCGCACACACGCACTGCCATGGGTATCTGAAAATTGTCATCTATGAAAAGAGGTGATCTGTTCCGGATTTGCCCCGGTGAAGATTGGTCTGCTGCAAGTGTTTTAATGCATCTTTGAGAATCTGGCACAGCTCTTTGCCAGAGTTTTACAAATCACAGGACCTCGCACTGTTTATATTTGCCACCCTTTCTTGAAAACATCTTTTAAAAAGGCCAGTCACTTGCAGATCTGGGTCTTTTCAACCTAATGATGGGGAGACCGAGGCTTTTAGCTATGAAGCCCTTGCACTTCGGGTTCACCAGCCAGCAAGGATAGCCTGACCACAATTTGTTGACAGGTAAAAATGGCTGGGTGCTTCATCCAAGATGCTTTCTCTTCTGGACGGGAGCAACGTTAACTCTACCCGAGTCTCCGAGCTGCTATGTCTGGTCATGAATGGGACCAAGAGTGGATGTAATTCCTCTGCTGTTGTGATCCCAGGACACGATGAACTGGTTGTAGGTCTGCTTGAGTGTAGAGTCAGGGTGTCATTTTCGGTGATCAGCCTCCGGTTCCCCTTCATGGTTCCTCTTTTGGATTCCAAGCCTCTGAGAATGAAGCGACCCGGCCCTTCACACTCTTTCATTAGTTGCACCCTTTGCAAAACTCTTCTCCCAATCTTTTGCTGCCCCATTTTCAGAGCATTGTAAAGAGAGTTTTGTGGATGCTCATGTTGGCTTTGTCTTTCTAAAGCCGCTAACCTTCTCCCTTTCATGTAATTTAACCCCAGGGCTAGCCCCAGACTCAAATTTCGGCTTTAACTTCACGTTCTTTGTTGTTAGCCTTCAAGAGATTTCATTAGTTAGTGATAGGGAATAAATGGGTCTGCTCTGTCGTGGCACCCACCCTCGAATACCATTCCCCCTGAAGTTTGAATGGCCCCGACCCTGGTCCTATTTAAAAGAGTCCTTAAAACCTGGCTCTCTCCCGAGGCCCTATGAGACAGAGGGGTGATGGACGCCTTGTACGATGTTCTGGTTTTTTAGGTGATTGTTGACTGTTTTTTTCCTGGATTTTTCACTTTTGATGATACAATTCTCTGTTTTCGCTATGTCTTTATTGCTGTAGTCTGTAAATCACCCAGAGTCATAACGGATTGGGGCGGCCTACAGACCTCATAAATAAAGGCGTTCAGCCAACTAAATAAAGACTTGGATCTAGAGTGCATAATATCCTTTGGAGACAAAAGTTTGTGCCAGGGGTTCTGCAACCAGCTGGGAGTGCAAACTTCTGTCCTTGGGGGAATATCTGTTTAAGAAAAGCCGGGCTGTCCCTTGGTGAAGCTGGATGGGATTATCTGAAATGTTTGTTCCCTTCTGCAGGCTTCTTTCCAACGCTCTAATAGTCACGACAAAGTCAGGAAAATTGTAGCGGAGGAGGGACGCACTGCAAGGAACTTGATTGCATGGAGCGTGCCGCTGGAGAACAAAGAGGATGACGGTGCGTGTTTGATGTTGTGCTAAGTCAGTGTTTCTCAAGCTTGGCCACTTTAAGATGTGTGGACTTCAACTCCCAGAATTCCCCAGCCAGTCATGCTGGCTGGGGAATTCTGGGAGTTG